ATAAAGTGGGTCGTAGTGTTACCGCGTGCATATTGCGCCACTGAAAGGAGAGTCACCAACGATCGAGCACCTCGCGATTTCGTTTGTGCAACATATTTCTGCGACTGGTGCTTCACAAGCGACAACTAAATATATGCGATGCTACATCTATTTTTCAGGATCACTTCACAATCAGTTTGAGCCAGTGATCTTGGCAAAGACTGGCCTCAAGAAACTCAAGCCATATGCAGATCCTTCCATTTTTTCACGCCGACCTCTTCCCAATGAGCAATATTTTGCCTTGTAGCAACAAATATTTTCTTGTCTTTATCTTTGTATGTAATTTATCTTTTGTGATCAATAAAACATCAATTATCGACAATAAAAATATTGCTTTTGTATTTTAAAGGCTTTGCTGAAGGATCTCTCTGTCCTCGTTTTGTAACTCACACAGTAAGGTACGCCCGCGGCTGTGCGGCAGAGCTCTTTGAGAGTCAAGTGTGTACCTTGCGCGTGAGAACGTCAAAACACTAATACAGGGTGTCACAAAAGAAATTTTACACCGTCTTTTTTACCGCAAAAATAAACTAGGCATCGCCGAACGCTCATTCCAGGCCCAAAGGTAGAGCTAGAGGTCACAACCAGATGCCAAAGTTTCAGCCCGATACGATAACTGAATCAAAAGTTATAAGTGATTTTCTGAAAATTTTAATGAGAAAATAGAGCTCATTTTTGCCCGTTTTCGGTTTCTGGTGCCATAGAGCCCCATGTGTTTGAAAACTCCGTCGGCCGCCATTTTCCCATTGAAATTTTCAGAAAATCATTTATAACTTTTGATTAAGGTATCGGTTCGGGCTGAAACTTTGGCATCTGGTTGACCTCTAGCCACGGGCGTACCAACCGGGGGGGCAAGGGGGGCGCTTGCCCCCCCTCCCCTAGTTCTGAGTGGGGAGGCAAGGAATGTGTATTGCCCCCCCCCCCCCCCCCCCCCCCCTAAAAAGCCGCCACTGGGCAGGGAAAATACTGGCCGGCGGCGCCCAAGGTATGGACCTTTTCCGCTTACTCTCGCCCCCGACCGCCAAGTAGGCATATCCGGTATGGGCGACAAAAAAATATGAAAACGTTTCAACCTGCAAGTAGTAAAAAAATAGAGGGGAGGCAAAGCGAGAATACGTGACGGCTACGCTTATCTCCTAAATGCTTTTGTTGGCGTGGCTACGGCAAAACAATGTTTTCGCCCATACTGGAAGTGACGACAATTCAAGATGGCGGCGCCCTTGCGAAAAAGGTCTAAGGGCTCAGCCTCCCGGCTTTGGGGGGGGGGTGTTCTGGTTTGGTTTGCCCCCCAACTCAAAAAAAAGTTGGTACGCCACTGCCTCTAGCGCTACCTTCGGGCGGAGAATGAGCGTTCGGCGAAGACTAGTTTATTTTTGCGGTAAAAAAGACCGTGTAAATTTTCTTTTGTGACACCCTGTATATGTGATAAATGAGAAACGTGCTGGCAAGGCAACCGAGCACGGGCTATTTTTCATTTTAACGGAGGGGATACAAGTGATTGTAATTGATTATTTGATGGGCAGTTCCATGCACGAGGCGCGTAAAAAGTAGGCGTCGCGTATTCATCTGCGCGCATGTGCACAGTTGCAGATAGCATTCGACGCTTATAAAATGTGTATGAAGTAAACCAAGCTGCTGGATTGACAGCACGATCGGTGATGCTACAAGTTACCGAAAAGTCCTGTTTTACACGCGTAGTGGTGTCTTTTATTTGCCTAACTCGAGCGATACCGATTCTCCAAAGCACTTCGTTCAAAATACTAAAAAGTTTTAGTAGAGCATGCGCTAAGGATTGCGAGCCTTGCGGGCGCGTGCCCAATTCATGCTCAAAGCAACGGCAAGAGCTCCCGCTAGCCACTCAGTCCACACCGTGGTCCTTGCCCACGAAACTCTATTTAAACGCAGACAGAGGTGCATTCTATCGTGTGCCTGCTCTCAGCTTTTGCTGCAATAAACGGGTAAACGAAATATATTTTCGCAGTGCCTGCCGATGTCCCAAAATGCTCAACTACATTGTTTTCATTTTTTTTTTTTTTTTTTAATCGTTTGCGTTTAGCGGAATGGGAGAAAGCTTGTCTTCACGCCCGAGCGATTCCGACCCTGCTCGCGCGATCATATTTGCCGGTCTTTCCGTGCTTTATAACTTCCAATAAACACACGACACAAACGCGAGTTTCTTCACGCTAAAAAACAACACTGTCTTCATACCTTAAAAAAAAAAAAATTGTTTTTTTACTTTAGTGAAGAGAGCGGAGCTGTAGCTTCTGTTCTCGGCGGTGGCTTTCCAGGCGTGCGATCTGCTCTGCTTTTGCAAGGGAATCTGAAGCGCTCGACGCAGTAGAACTTTAGGCGATAGTGGCCTCGCAGCGGTTGCGAAACCATTCTCGCTGCTGCGCACATCGTCGCTCGTTCCGTTCCTGCTCCTCTTCCTCCGAAGAAATGTTGCCGCGATCTTTGAGCGACGGCGGCAAGCAGACAACCGGCAAACACAACACTCTGGACAGCTACCGCCATCTATGAGCGACGGCGGCAAACAGAGCTTTGTGTCGTCCATTTCTTTGCGGGGGACACAATCCTGGGGACACGATCTTGGGGAAACTAGCCCTTAACAGCTCTGCTGTAAAAAATCTCTAGTCCGCCATATGCAATAACATGTACGGCTCGGCACCCGGTCGTGCCCGGCACACAGGCGCGCGCCTTGTGGGCCCCGCTTAGACATGGCGGCGGGGGGTGCAGCGCAAACGGAGGGCGAGGAGGATTGCCGTCGATGGAAAGGAGGAAAACGCGGGGAGAGGAGGAATTGGGCCTTAATTTCACAAGTGCGCGTGCGCTGCTTTAATGGGTGCTCAAGATGCTCAAGCGCACGTGCGCCCGTAGCTTTGACTGCGTAGCCACAAAATGTTGTCCGCAAGTATTGTGTGGTAACTATGGCTTAGCGCAACTGCAGTTAAGTGTGCAAGTGTAGCGAGAGCATTAAAGAAAATCCAGCCGAACTGGTTAAGGTTACTCCCCAGCTTCAATGCACTTCACCAGCTTATAAAAGTTTCATGCAATCCACTCATTGTGCCACCAAACGGATGGAACCGATATAAAGATGGTAATTAAACAGATTACATAAACATTAAATTATAGAGCAGTCCATATAAACTTGGCAAAGCCCAAAGATGCTTGGTTACATGAAAAAAAGAAAAGATATCGTAAGAATATTGGTCTATGATACATACTACAACGTAGAGTTGCTCTGTCAGCACTCACCAATTTCTTTTTTCATATATACTTACTGTCTGCGTCTGCAACATCCCACTCTGGAGTGGTTAATTTCCCCTTAGCACATGTGTGCTGCTGGCGCAGCAAGGCACGCAAAATCGTAGTACCTGATTCGCGATTGTCGCTTCACTGCAGTACAACAGTGCAGAGTGCAGGAGCGCACTACACAACGAAGCCAACTCGTCAGAACGCACCCCGAACATGAGAAATGTTGTGAAACTTCCAAGTACTGCCAGTGTTTGACAGAGAGACCAAATCGAGTAGTGCGTTATTTGAGGCGGTTCCTGAAAGCACATTCGCACAAGCTTACCATATTGATCCGGCAATGCCGCGGGCTTGCGGGGCGGAATGTTGGCGCAAATTTCTTATATTTGGCAAAATGCGGCAGGATGTATAGCGAAGTAAGCACTTCAGCGCTGTTTGGCACAGAAATCTTATCACTGCGAATGGCATTGCAAGAATAAGCTAGCTAATTCTTGGGTTCAGCTCCGAGACGCGAAGGATGCGTAGCGGGGCACGCCAGTTGCACGCTTTGGCCACGGGGAGCAGGACAACTGGCGTAGAGGTGCATTCTGACAGAAATCCGAAACTTAAAAACATGTCCAAATTTAGTGTGGGTTTTTTTTTTTTTTTTTTTGGAACGCCATAAAAGTTATGGTGTCACAACTGCTTGAAAAAAGCAACGACTAGTTTGTACAAAATATTTTACTCTAAAAAGCTTTTTTTCGCAGCAGATGCTATGAGCCATCAGAGCCAATCCAAGGCCGTGCAAGTGTCACTTGACCTTGGAGAGGGGACGCAGCGATGCGCAGAAAGCGGCTATGTCCACAGAGAGGGATTGGCTGGGATAGCTCGCAGTGTCCACTGCGTCCGGACGTAAGGTGAAATGGAGTATACTTAGTTTATTCTTCTGCGAGCTTTTCTCCAGAATTTAGTCCCCTAGTCTCCTGATAACATGATTATAATGTCAATTAGCTGACCCTGTATACCGCAACGCTTGCACCGCGCAGCTCACATCAAGCACCACCGCTTCACACTGGTATGGCAGTATGCACTGGTGTGCTCGGAGCAGCGGCTGACGCCATGAAGAATCTCAAATAGCTCTATCACTATTAAGCTCGAGCTTGTCAAGTTAAGACTATACATCGACCCCTAACTATAGATAACAATACCAAAAGAAAAAAGTCAACCAAAGTGAATAAATGTGCTACGTTAACATCTTGCACAAACTTTAGATCATAGCACCAAATACCCCCAAAAAAAGTGACTTACCCCACCCCCAAAAAAGTGACTTGGTAAGATAATAAAAATTTGTCACAGTTCATAACTGAGACAATGTGCATACAAACATGCTCCCAAGCTAAGCTTTCGTTATTTCATAGGAATTGAAGTAAAACATGTCATACTTAGCTACAATGTAATTCACAGGAGCACTGTCCATGCTTCAGATGTTTCGGACCTTGATTTTACCAAGGGTGGCATATGCAATATACTGTACTTCAATTGCACTGCAATTGTGACCCTACATATTTGATTTGTTTGGAGCATTTGGTTTAACACTGGGAATTTAAGGATTGTCACAATGTCACACTTCCACTGCTATTTCTAGGTATATTTGGCAAAACAATATCCACCCTGTACTCAGACCTACTCGTAATGACCGTCTGACCACCAAACATGAACCGACAACCAAAACATGTCAGTGATAAATTACCAATATATTATTTCACCATGAAATCTAATATACATTTTATCAGCTGCAAACCATACACTTAGTGTTCAATGTGTACCAGCAAAATGAACAAATATATTAAGTAATTCACTGCTTCATATACATTACATTTAAACAAAAAAGGACTTTAAAACTAACGTGTCCACTTTATGCTAAGTAGTTAAAACATGAAAGGCTGTACAACTGATCCAGTAGGGCACGGGGGGAGTAGTATTTGTAAGAACAGTATTTGCATATTCAATAAAAATATAAGGGTACATATGCACTTCTGTAGGAACATTGTCACTTGACACCGAAACTCTGTTCTTGTCACATCCAATATTGAGACTTGTATGCTTATAAATTCTTCACAGCATAGTAAATATTACACCTCTGCAACCACTCATATACTACTGTACCATGTGCAAAATCTGAACATGTGAAGAAAAGTGACAGATGTCTATACCTATAAAAATAAAATTTTCTGGATAGCAAATGTTTTGTAAATTTGTACTGGCCGCCGTCTCAGCCATGCGTACAAGATGGCAGCACAGGATGATACTCACTACTCTCATAATCATCTTGCCAAAGTCCGATCTGTGTGGACGTTACCACACCAATAAAGCAAGCCAATAAAGAAATTGCACCATATCATATCAGCCTCCAAGCCTCCCTCTAAAATGGGAAAAAAATTAGCGAGTGTAACAGAAAACTAATGCAAGAGGAAAGTCAACAATGATGTGCTACAAAATGAAGCTGAATATAGATAACTTATGTCACGAAATGGAGTGAAAGCCTAGTGACGAAATGCAGAAACCACTGGTTGAATGGAGGCAGAAGGGATGACCTTGGCACCAACTGCACACTTTTACTTGTAACTAAATCTGCTGTTTTTTTCAATTGCAAGTAGAATGCCAACAAATCCTGCCATCAAAAACTTACATGGGAAGCCATCAGACTGCTACAAAAGATGGGAGATATTTCTTCTGCCTAAACGAACATGAAATAAAATATATTTGCTTGCCAAACAACCAAGCTATCACAGCTACCAAAATTTCTTGTGGAGAGGCCTCCACTTTTAGACTCAATAAAAAATGTTCCCTTTTAGCTTCTTGACTGGAAATAAGTGATTCCACATAGTTTCAGTGCAACAAATGGCAAGTGACTGAATGCAAGTTCAACCAGCCCTGACAGGCTGCCCAGAACCCACGAATGCACAGCTTGAAACTTCTGAACGAACATGTGAACATCTGGAGGTAGTACTCAACACTTATAATGCAATATACAACATTCCAAATCGCAGGATCGTTGGTGTAACTGCACGCCACCTCTGTCCTTCACAAAGTGCATACTGATGGTGAAGCCTCATTCCCAATCCTGTGTCTACCATTTTCGAAGACAGCATTGAAGCACACACAAAAAAAAGAAAAACATTATATAGAATAGATCCTCATAAGTTCTCATCTTCTAGGCATTCTCCCTCCACAAAAAAAAAACAAAACACATAAACAAGAAGAAAGCAAAGAGGAAGTTCCCAGAACATTACAATCTCCTACCATGCTGACCAAAGGGTTGTGAACCAAACAGAAATAGTGTGAGCTGTTTCGAGAGCCCACACCTCCGCCTCTCAGGGGCTTTCCCCTGTCCATTCGTGGAACAGGATAGAGGAAGAGTATCAAATCTCAGTGCTGGTCAGTCCGACTCAGGAGTCTGCGGCGACAGTCTCGCCGTTCCTGACCGGCTTCACCTCGTCCCCTTCAGAGGTCTTGCCGGAAGCAGAGCCGTCGGTTTTCGTGGTGCCGTACGACGAACTCTTCTCAATTTCAGAGAGCCCTACGAGCCAATTAAGAACAGAGAACACTGCAAGGAAAACGAGGAAAGGCTTAGGCTGACAGGCTTCGCAGGCATTAAGCACAAATTTCACTTGATCAAAAAAATTGCTCCGACTTTACCCAACAAGATAAACAATTTAATCAAACGTTTCGTCTCCCATCCCGGAAACATCGTCAGTGAAACCTACAAGCAGGAATGAGGGAAAAAACTTCAACAGTCCTATTTAAGCAAGTCCGCGTACACATCGGGGAGGGGGCCGCGGTTGGAATTGCAAGCTGATGAGTCACCTCGGATGAACCATGATTCCACGAACCTGCGTGGACCCCACCTTTGTTCGCGCGCCAGAGTGGACGCATTCTCAAAGTCGAAACAGTGACCCGTAGTCCAACAATGGTCTACGAGTTCCGTCTTCGCTCTTGTCGCATGCGTGGCCTTCGCCACGTCCCTTTTGTGTTCGTTTAAGCGAGTGCAGCGCTTCCGGCCTATCTCCCCAATGTAGGATGCGTCACAGTTTAGACACTCCACTTTATACACAACACCGCACTGGGACTCTGGGTGCGGTGTTGTGTATAAAGTGGAGTGTCTAAACTGTGACGCATCCTACATTGGGGAGACAGGCCGGAAGCGCTGCACTCGCTTAAACGAACACAAAAGAGACGTGGCGAAGGCCACGCATGCGACAAGAGCGAAGACGGAACTCGTAGGCCATTGTTGGACTACGGGTCACTGTTTCGACTTTGAGAATGCGTCCACTCTGGCGCGCGAACAAAGGTGGGGTCCACGCAGGTTCGTGGAATCATGGTTCATCCGAGGTGACTCATCAGCTTGCAATTCCAACCGCGGCCCCCTCCCCGATGTGTACGCGGATAATAGGACTGTTGAAGTTTTTTCCCTCATTCCTGCTTGTAGGTTTCACTGACGATGTTTCCCGGATGGGAGACGAAACGTTTGATTAAATTGTTAATCTTGTTGAGTAAAGTCGGAGCAATTTTTCTGATCATTATGATTCCCGGCTTTTGGAATATTTTTGCAAATTTCACTTAGGTCATACTATCCACTGTTGCATGCTGCAAAAACTAGAGTCGCTGGGTCGTTACACAACAAGTAGTATCAATAATAAACTGACTGCAAGTTGCCAAACTAGCTGGTATACATTGAACATAACATAAACCCAAAGACTGGAGGTAAAAAAACAATGTAAACACTGAGAGGTCTCAAACTGAGACCTTTCAGTGTTTGTGTCGGTTTTTACCGGGAGTCTTGGGGATCATGTCATGCTCATGAATCCAGTATCAATAAGAAAAGTTATGGCATTTTTAATTTTTACCGCTTCAACCGGTCAAGTAGGATCTTACTATGCCTACTGTTTAGTCAGTTCTGAAGTTCAACCTGGCAGCCACAACCTCACTATGGCATGTCATATCTAGGCTGTATACTTTCCGGCGTTTATTTGTGTAAAAAGATGGGCGGATGTTTTTCGGTGTTTATTTATTTCCAAAATACCGGTGCATTTCGGTGAACTGTCTCGTGCAGAAGCTTGAAACGGCTTTTAGCGACGGAGAAAATCGCGAATAGAAACGAACAATCAAGACGAGAAACGGTTCAATTTTCATTTACATCTGATACACAATATTCTTCACACTTCATTCCCCTAATATACGCATGCATACATTCCAAGGCTCGCACCTGTCATTCCCGCCTACTCCTTCCTGTTGACTGCGCGCAACTTCGAGAGCGCGCGCTCTACATTTGCGCTAGACGCGGGAAGTCCAAAATGTACAAAGAACCTTGGGATAGTACAGGCCAGTCTGGCGAGTGCAGCTTCCGGACGCGCTTCGACCCACACAATATAAAAGACGTTTCAAACCCGCCCCAACTAGAGCCCACAGAGAAGTAGGGCAACTTTCAACGGGGCTATCTACAAAAGGGCAGAATGAAGACAAACTTTTGGGGACATACTCCGATGGTCAAAGTAATGACCACTGATAGAAAAAACACATCTTAATCACTAAGAGACCTGGGAAAACCCAAACGACGACCGTAAAGAAAAAATATAAAAAAGTTTGAGGAACGTTTACACAAATTTTGTGGGTGAAAAAAAAAAAAAAAAACAACTGCCGCTTGTACGCAAATATCTAAAAACCGGTGTTTTACGGCTTTAACCGATTTTTTTTCTTTTCAACGCCGGCAGATGTTTATCGGTCTTTTTCGGTTAAAACCGGAAACTATACAGCCTAGTCATATCCTGCGCTCTGTGGCAATAAATAATAAACAGTTGTATCTATTCTTGGGTTTCAGCAGCAGATTACTTTATCACTTTGACCACCAGGTTTTGTTTACTTAATCTTTGTGAATCTTACCAATTGGCTTTTTGCCTTCTCTTTTCAGTCCTTTCCTTTTCAAAGAGACCGTAAGAAAGAATACACACGTGAGCTGGTGAGATTAGCATACTGGTTCAAACCCTAAGGGTTTAAAGTGGTATGCTAACCTCACCAGCAGGACACACCACTATCTGAGTAGAAAATCTGCTCAGATAGCGGTGTGTACAAACCTTTCATCACGTTTTTAATTAAATAAATCGGCATAGCGTGATTGTCATTTTTAGATTTTTAGGATGCTTAGGGCCTGTAGAATCGGTTATGACCAGGAATAGACAATCGCAGAATCCTTTTTAATGTGCCCCTTTAAGTTGAACCAAAGTAGGGACCTGCCAAAGTTGATAAAATATTGACTCGGGGAGGTCAGTCCCACAATTTGTAAGAACATTTTTTTTTAAACTTATAACTTGTTTTTTGTCCAAAGTGTCTTTATAATCCCTGCTAAATGCTAAAAAAAAAAAGTTTAAAGGAGGCAAAGAAATAGATAGCGGCAACAGAGGGCATCCAACTTACGACCTACGGCGACAAGGGAAAACGCTAATTTCTGGCACAGCGTCTTCTACACTCCATAACTCAAAAAAAAAAAAAAAAAAAAATTACGGGGAATCCACAGATAGAAATGCCCCCAAAACATATATTTTTCACAAAAATCAAAAATTAGGCGCCATTAGCTTGCCCGATTTGAGATGAAATCAGCCATGTATGTACTTCGTAAAGCATGCTACAACTTTTCAGTGCAAGACCAAAAGTTGTATTCCACGTGCAAGAGGAAAAAAAAAAAAAAAAAGGCACTAAAAAGGTTCAACCTTAACTCCTCAGCTTTTGCTTGTGGACAACAAAATCCTGCATGAACACCTTCTAATAGAAGGCTCCGAGCAAAGTTTATGATGCAAACGAGAAAAGCAGGAAAGGAACACTCACAGAGAGCGATGAAAGTGGAGAAGGCCACCACCGTAAAGGTGCTGCCGCTGGTCAGGATGGCGTAGAAGGCGTACAGACACGGCGCTCCAGTGAGGATGGCCCAGGCCGTCATGTTCACTGCCGGCCACACCCGAACGGGGAGCTCCCTCACGGTGCCTGGAAATCGGCCGGTCTCGAGGTAGTCCTCCATCACTTTGTCCTGCAAGCAGGGAAGGAGCCGCCAATGCTTACATTATTCCGGCTCCTCACTTCGCAAGTCTGCCGCAACGCAAGCGACAAACCTTTTAAGGCTGGTTCACGCAGCTGCGTTTTGGTGCAATCGTGAGGGCTGCGTTCCCTCCGAATGACTAGGAACGAGCGAACACTAACGCGCCTTGATTCCAGAGCGTTTACGACTGCTCAATCGAGGTCCCACGGCTCATGAGACGTGTTTGCAATACGAGCTGCGAAGAGGTGACGAAAGCGTGGATCCTATGCGAGTATCTCCGCCTCTCCGCCCGATTTCCTTTCTGCCACGCGACGAAGCAGCGCACGCGCATTTGCAACCGATCGGCGCAAGAGGAGACCGCTGTTAAACTGCAAATACTCTTCATAGTTTAAGTTGGTGCATCTCTTAAATTTAGGCTGTCTAGAGAACGCCCTGGAACACTTCCAACCCAGATGTATATTTTCTAATTGTTTACGCGTTATTCTTTCACCGTGGGCTCGGAATAATTCTGACGGCGCTATAAGTGACTATTTCTCATCACATAGATTTGATACTGGAAAACCTTCAGTCTAGTAATATGCAGTTCCAGGGCCACCCGACATAGGGCCCCAGCGTGTTGTCTCGTCACAAACAGTTACGATGGCACGCAATAATATTATTAATCTTCATTTCCATTTAAAGAAAAAAATAGTGGAGCAATAGAGAAAAAGCATCAACAAGAAGCTTCACTGGTCCCTAGCCCCATCGACACTTTATCACACTCAGACACAACTGTGTGAACAAGCCTTTAAAGGCTGTTGGTTTGATTATGTCTGTGCATAATCAGCAGGCACTGCGCGAGGGAGGAGAAGGGAAACAAAGGTGTTTGTACAAGCGATGATGATGATAATAGGCGCTGTCTGGCAGAGATCATCACCAATGTCGACCCGATTTCCGGCTAGCCGTGGCTGGCACGCTAAAGTGAGTAAAGCCTCTCGCAGCCAATGCTAGCCAGCGCAGCATTGCTTCGTGCGATTCGTGCTTCGCAGCATGACGCGCATTGTTGGGCGTACATTGGATCACATAAAATTTTTAACTCGACAGTCTGAACCAAATTCGGGACATATAGCTGTCCCGACAGGGGCGATGCAGGACTCGGGACGCTTAATGAAAAGACGGGACAGTCCTGCAAAATCCGGGACGGTTGGTAAACTTATGAGAAATTGAAGCTACAGAAGACTGCAATGGAGAGGAGACAACTATGGAGAGGAAATGGACTACTTGTCAACGTAATTGGGATGGCAGGTGACGTCAGAACTTGAAGAACGACGCAGAGAAAGATGGCTCAAACTCATGCCGTTATGGATTGCCTGGAGGTCTTCAAATGTGTATTTAACTAATTTTGCAATAAAAACTGGCACTAATTATTTTTTTACGTCAAATATAAAGATTAAAAAATAATAAAACACCAAAAGACACAAAATTACATTTTTGACGTAAGATTGCCATTTTTTGACCCGCATCTTCCCTTAAAGGGCAACTCCGCTTCATTTCTGATATTTAGAAAACTATGTAGCCCCCTTCAGTATCATATAGGAAGACCCCATGGCAAATATTACAATCTAATTCCGTTTATATATTTAATAAACTAGCCAGCAAACCTTCAAGCGAGCCAAGTCGCCGAAATCTGCCAACTCTAGCGTGCGGCGCGAGGCGCAATCATCAGCGCAGTCAATGCCACGGAGTTGGAGCAGCCGACATTGAGCCACTAAGTCAGAGGCATGACTACGTCATTCTCACCTTTTGTTTGTTTTTACTTCTCAGAGCGATATTGAACGATGACGTCATTAGTTTCTCCTCCCGGTGTTGGCTGAACGGCGTCCACGTGATCACCATAACGCGGATGCGATAGTTTGCGCTGCCCTGCGCTCTTATCGGTCTGTTTCTCCGCTCCCCTTCTCCTGTTTCATCTTCTCCCCTTCCCGCTTTCCCCCGGCCATCACCGTCCATGCCATGCGAAGCGACCTGCCCGCATCGCATGTCCTGTTTCTTGCTCCCTCCCGAACATCACAAGACCACGTGGTTCGACGTGGCGTGGCCATGACTCTGACGACCCGAGACCAATGTTGCCTGACGCAACCGAAGTTTCGGTTTTGGTATCAGCTGATGTTTAAATTGGGATTACACAAATAATATTCCACATTTCGCGAATCCGAAGACGTAGAGTTGTTTAGTAGGGTTGTGCGAATATTCGAAATTTCAAATAGTAGTTCCGAATAATACACTATTCGATATTCGCTTCGAAAAGAACTGCACTATTCGTGTTTTTCGAAGTGTTGATTACGGCAGCTTAGCCACGTTGAGTGCGCTTCTTACCAAGCACTGGTGCGCTGCGGAGAAGCAAAACCTACGAAAGTGAGCTTTGCGGGTGTTGCTTCTCCGCATTACATTGGTGCTCACTAAGAAGCGCACTTAACGGGGTAGCCCGCCGCGATAAACAATATCGTTATTGCGTGCTCAAGAAAAGCATACATTCAAAGCGGGATGGTGCACCCGTGCCGCATGTATTTGGAAATAAATGGAAACTTTGTGAATGCGAATGTGTAAAATTGTAGTAAAAGTTTGAAAATTAAACTTTTATGGAAGAGTATACTATGTTAGGCAGAGATGCTTTTACAACCTGTGTTCATTATGCGCGACTCATTCTTTTTTAACTTGAGATTAAAGAAAGAATATTTTATATATCAAGATTTGTAAATTCACTCAATTGGTATTGTTGGCCATCTATATAGGATTCATTTTATGTCAAATCTGTCGTTTACTTGCCATCCCAAGACACCAGGCCTTCTGAGATCACAGTTCATAAATATAGATAGATTAAGCTTAGCTTATGAATGAAAAGTGGAATAACCTTTACAGGTTTGGCTGGCTTTTCGTCTAAGCATTATGCAATGGGAGTGAAAGGCGTGGAAAAACCTATTCGATATTCAAATAGAAAACATTTGGCCAAAACCACTATTCACTTCGCACTCAAAATCCACTATTCGCACAAGACTATTGTTTAGTAGTGCTTTGTGAATTTGAATCACGTGTAAGCCTAAATTTTTCGAAATTGAGCGGAGTTGCCCTTTAAAGGGCAACTCCGGTCCATACTTTCGATTTTGGGATTATGACTGTTTTTAGTGCAGTCAGCGTCCCTGAATTGACAGGTGTAGTTGTTTTCTCGCTATTGTGCGTAGTTTTAAAGATATCGACGCTTCAAAGTTTTGTTTGGGGCGCGGCCAACAAAACTGAAACTAGCCGCTCGAGGCCCCGGCAACACTGGAAATCAGCCGCTATGTAAATATGACGTCAGGATCGTTCTCATTCTCAAGTACGCAGGCCGAGTGGCACCTACCTCTGCTGTGCTAGCCGTCTAAAGATAGGAGGTGAGCTGATTTTGTTTTAATTCTGTATACGTGGTAGTTATCCAGCAGTAGCAAGAGTTAGTGCGTATACTCAAAAGCTAGCGACTCGAAAACCCGTAAACTTGTACGGTGCCGTACTCGGCGGCCGCCGCTGTGCGTGCGCTATGCCATATTCGTCGCTTGTATACCCAAAAGCTAGCGATTGGAAAACGAGTGAACTCGTTCGGTGCCGCACTCGGCGGCTGTCGCCGTGTGTGTGGTCTTCCATACTCGTCGCTAGGCCTAAATTGTCATCGGGGCTCCGTGGATGGAGCGGCGTTGCTCTACGCCGCGCTCCCAGTGACATACAGTACTGGGGGCCCTCTCGCTTTCGCGCTGCGGGTCAGTGCCAGACACGGAAGCTTTGAGGCTCTCCAGCGCGGGCCGAGGCGCTCAAACACACGTGTGCTGGGCTATACACATCTGCTTTTCGTCCTTTTTTTTCCTCGAGCGCGTTAAAGCCAAAGTCCAAAGTCCACTCGTCGAACAGCATTCACCCACACCTTCTCCAATTTTCGGTGCGTTAGAAACTTGTGGAAAAGCACCTCCGTGCTGCGCGGCGGGTTGTTTGAGCAGCCCACAGCGCTACAAGTTGCACTCGGCATCTTTCGAGGAACAGCTGGGCAGTTTTGGGCGCACCGAGTTGCTTGCTAAAAAGAGTCCTGGAGTCCTCACAAGCAAATGAACAAAAGGCTATACACCTTTCCAAAAAACGCTCCTAGGCCGCCGCCATGTTGCTGATGCTGACGTGGCTGGTGCGACTCTCGCACCCTCTATCAGCTAGAAATTTTCTGCCACTCTCTTGGACTGTGAAGACCCTACCCGCTCAGCGCTGTTCTCTACCTACGTTTTTGCGATTTTGCATTCAACGTTTTCTCGTATCTCTTGAAAGTTTCCACTTAATTTTTTTTATGGGTGCTGCGTACCCTTTTTGTGTTATCTTCTATTGTGAGAAATAAGGCTGGCAAGTGCCTGCCATTCAAGATTTTCTGCTCGAAATGCGCGGGAAACGAAGGAGGTGAAGGACGTCAAACGACCCTCGACGCGATTTGGCGAACATTGTTCTCCCCCTCCCAGAAATAATCCACGTAAAATCCTCAGTCATCTCTCTAAAAATAGTTGTCTGAATTGGGTTGGGAAACGGGTCAGTCGCGTTCATTCCTTTGCCTTGGTGCTGTTGTGAAAAAAGGAAGCTCTCCCCAAAACGTGCCCCAAAACAAAGTCAGCTTGGATTCCGTTCGATCGTCAAGATGTGACTGTCGTCGACTGTGACTGTGTTATTTGAGATCTTTCTCAAATAAATTATTTTTGGATAACGCTGCATCGTGTGGTACGTACAATATATTGCTCGAATGTTAACACTTTCTAAATTGCATGTCCGTGTCCTGTCCATCGGTAAACACGTTATTTGTGAGCGTGAAAAATGCATGCCTTTTGATTCTGGTGTCCCCCCTCAAAGGTTCTTTTTTAATAATTGAGAAGAAACGTCTCGACATGCACATTGCATCAGTCGGAGAGTACTTTGAAGTATGCTCCAACTGATATGTTATACGTTATGTACGTTGTGTGCACGTTACACCAAGCCATAGAATGTTGTACTTGGACCATGAATTTCAAGTTTGGCTGCTCAGGTTATAATTAGGAGCTGACTTTCTGGTTTTAACCGAAAGACACTGATAAACATCTGCCGTTATCCACAATACAAAATCAGTTTTAAAACCAAAAAAAAAGATTTCTGGAAACCTGCCCCTGGAAGTGGCACGACAGTTAGGTCAGTCAGTCGCCACAGATGGTCACAATGTCTTTGTTCTATTCAAGTTAAGGCTGGACAGCGGTGTTCGAAACTACACAGGCGGTTATCATCAGTTGCAAAAGAGACAAGGAGTAACTTGCTTTCCAAGTGGAAGAAATGTCCTGCTTCAGACACTTCAATTTTTGCTGTCACAGGGAGTAGAAGAGTAGAAGAATAAGAAGGAAACCTAAAGCTTTGTGCAACTATGTTGAGAAATACGCAAACTTTAACCAGTGTTAAAACTAGTCATACGACGTTTGCTGTAATCGTCAATTCCAAAACGTGGCAAAACAACAGCGCGTTTTATAATCTTTCCTCACTCATAATGAGCCTCGCAATGTAAACATTGAGCTAAAATTTTGTTTTTATTTGGAAAAAGTTGATTTTGTAAAATATGACTGCAATCCAGGCAATTCAAAAATGTTTTCTGGGAGTTTGGCGTCTCTAGGAGCGATTCCAAGCATGCTTCTATTTCGGGTCAAAGTTCATTTCGTGACGTAAACATCCCATTCGAAAACCTAATAAAAAAAAAAGTCTCTCGAGAGTCCCGTGTGCCTCAAGGTGCACAGCCCGTTGAGACACGTTTTGGCACGACACCTACCTTGTGCACATACAAGTCGTAGAGGAACTTGGTGCACTCCTCTTCCGTATCAGTTGGAACTTGATCCAGGGGCACTCTCCGGAAGTAGATGTCTCCCACGAAGGGATGCCCATTGAGAATGGTCATTATCTTTGGCGGGTTCGGGGAGTCTCGGAACCCGAGTTGCACGTCGAAGATTGCCGGAACGCCTGCATGAACGCGGCAGAGAGCAAACATAATTAAGTTGGTGTTGCCCTTTGGCTAAAAGGTGCAACCACACCAGCAGCCTCCACGTGCCTCATCGGCATTGATGTCGCTCTGCATCGGTGTGCGTCGCTTGAGATCACCCTCGATAATGCAACACGCGGGACAAACCGAGGTCTGTGCCAGCCAGATCTCAGCATCAACGCCGGAAGTGGCTTGCCAGGCAGAGACCAATCAGATTCGCGCGTAGCAGAAGCAAGGCCAGGTACGACCTCTGGAACATCCCAGTCAGTCTCCACGAAGTCAATGCAGCAAGATGGGTATACATTTGTTTCGAGATTGACAGTTAGTTTGCTTTAGCACAAATTTAAAACGAAAGATTTTAAAGTTCTAACAACCTTCTTTGTCCAGCACCAGCAGACAATAACCAGGTGGCTGTGACTGGCTGTTGGGGCTCTCAGTGATGTGATTGGCCAAAGCCATTTTGGAGCACCCTTCAGAGCAACCAAAACAGTGTCTTGGAGCAGCTAAGACAGTGTTTAGGAGCCGTTAAGTGGCTTTTGAAGCAGATATTCTTAAAAAAATAAAAATATTTGTTTCAGTACTGTATGAATGAAGGGCACTTTGTGTTGTGTTTTGATGTGACGTGTTGTGACAGAACTCGCTGCTTGTGTTTTTACTGGTGAGACATCCCACAAGTGTACAGTGCTGTAGGTATTGCCGAGCAATTACGAAAAACCGCTTTCCACCATTTTAATGGTTTCTGATGTGCCAGATTTTCGTCCAAAGTAAGCAAAACGTAAAACAATGAATTGCAAGCGTCCCGGCTGGTGCCTTTGTCGTGCAACCATGTTTGCATGCACGTGAGGGCAACTTCGGCAAGCTTGCAGTTACGCGTGCTTCGTGCTAAGACGTGCAAAGACAATGGCTGTTCGATTGAAACCGAAACCATGCCAGTCCGCTCCGTTGCCAAGTGATTCCCAAAATTGTATGCAAAATGTAACTGTCAAGCATACGACAAAAAACAGTCCAGCGGCGCGTGCTTGCCAGGCCGACAAATAAGGTACAAGCTAAACACACACAAAAAAAGAACTTGAGCGCATTGATGAAAGACATTGCGAGCCAGGGTCAAAAAGTTCTTTGAGCACTTTGTGCAAGGACTGAAGTCAAGAGAAACCAGCGTGCTGTGTGGGTTCAGCGTGCAGACATTGCCTTTCTTTTCTTTATCTCACTCCTCTTCACCAACTTTCTTTCGCGGCAGATTTTTCACGTACCTAGGTACCTCCCGAAACCTAGGTAATCAATACGTCGACACGGCAGTCTCTGAGAAGAACAGGAATGTCGATGAACATGCGGCGGTACTCGTTTCATTTTAGAAAGCACCATATCTGCAGCGACACGGGGACGGCAACAGCCGACGTCGCGCGACCACGGTGACTGGAAGGCGGGGACCAAATGTAATTTTCCCACGGCCGTTGCTTTCAGGAGCGAGTGATTCAACTCGCAAAGTAACTCCCGCCGCACAAAAACGTGGTTTCGTTTCACGGCATGACGGCATGGTTGGTACTTGGCACGTTAGCGTTTGAGCGTCAGCACACACCCGCGTCTATCGGGCCACTTGCGCCAAATAACACACGCTTGCTCAATTACAGTACTCAGTTTTTGTTTTGAAAGGCGACCGAAATTGGTTTTTTGGCGCAGGCTTGGCGCAGATTACCTATATTTTGGCACAATGAAGCAGGATGTAGCAGGGTTAGCCCCTTGGCACAGTTTGGCACAATTGGTGCAGCAATCACATCACAGGGCTCTCGGATGTTTTAAACCTCGTCGATCTGGCGACACTGCGCCCGACCGATGTGGGCTGGCGCACGTCTTTGTAGGAATGGTCGCCCTTTCTCTCACCGGGCACAAGCTGACGTGGCAAGATGCTGACGCTAACGAAACATGTGAGAACGATTTGTGCGGTTGGGCCTTTATATAATAAAAGCACATTGATCATACATATATGAGAAGCCAATTTAAACCTTGAGCCCACGTGTACTGTGTGTACTTGAAGGAATCTTGCCATCATTTTCAGGCAGCTTTGAAATTTGTGTGGAAGAAACTGATCTTTAGGACCACAATAGTGTGCGAAAATCCCGATTTCTCTCAAAATTCATCTTCCATAAGGGTAAAGTTATGTGATGTCCCTGATGAATGAATGAGCAGCCAATGATAAGAGTAGCGGACTTCCTTGGCCAAGGCTTGGGCCAGACTGGCACGAGCTAGAGGCAACTTGGCTCAAGCTTGGCACAAGCTTGCGCCAAACTGGCCCAAGTATGAGCCAGGGAAGTGTGCTGCTAGGGAAGCAACTGGTCAAATAGCTGTACGCTACCAGCGATCAGTTTGCATATGCAGAGGCTGGTGGGGGAAACAGCATAGCCTGTGTGGCCTTCGGCAGTTGCCGCCAGACGTTGGCTGCAAAAGGTTATGAATGATGAAGGGGACATGGGGGAAAAAGAAGAAAGAATGACAGGGACAAACACACGAGCAAGAGTGCCTAGTGTTGCTTCTATACAGTGCCGGCTGTTGCTTCTATACAATGCCTAGTGTTGCTTTACAGTGCTTCTATACATGCACTGAAGCCACCGTTCTTCAACAATTAGGCGCCGTTTGACACGGGAGACAAGAGATGGCGCAGGCGGTCGCGACGCCAACTCCCACCAACGAACAAGCATACGGCGCCGAGAGTCGGCGTCAAATAGCAGACAACATTTTCGACTCAAAAGCGATATTGTTACGTTTTTAATTTACAAAAGGACGTCCATAACCAAATCAGACCAAATTAGAAGTGTGTCACGCGCCGTCTGCACGCGCTTCGTCGTCATCCTCGGTGGGCTCTAGCACGCGCCCCGGCAGCACCGCTACACTATTTCCCCTCAGAGGTTTTTAGTGCTGTTTCTTCCTGGGTTGGTTCATTCTGCTAGACAATCTAGCCACGTTCCATTAAAGATAGACCGTTCTTTTTGCAGGTGTCGTTGCCGATGCTCATCTGTGAGAGTTCCTCCGCAACACCAAAATCCAGCACATTGGCGCTTTTTGAAGTTGATGCCCGCAGACTTCTCACTTGGCCGCCGCTTGCTCCTGTTTTCGTCACACCTGGTGACACGTCTGATCAGAACTCCGTTGCCGGCACAAATCATATCGGTGCAAAGCATCACTGCACATATGCGCATTTTGAAAACCAACACCGAACACGAAAAGTGCCGGCAAGGCCAAAGTCCAGGAGAAGATAGAACGTTATGTTTACGTTGCTGCTGTTGACCTCATCCGCCGAATGTCCAGATCGACAGTCAGAAAAACATTCAAGTCCAGCGCGCACTTACGCGCCTCGATGTCTTGAAGCTTTGGGTAGCAAATGTGGCCATAGGCCAACGCAGGATCTTCATTGCACGGCCACAGAACAGTCGTGGGGAACATGGCGAAATGGTCACTTGTTCGTGGCGGTTCCGGCATGAAGATTTGCGGCATCAGGCAATCCAGCTGCCATCCATTGGCTCCATGAAACGCCGGCGCAGACCACATTGCAGAGGATGTTCTTCCCGAGAGGAGGCTTTCCGGGTAACTTGAGGCGTCATGCCAGGAATCCCACTTCTGACATCAAATGTTACGTTTTTAATTTACAAAAGGACGTCCATAACCAAATCAGACCAAATTAGAAGTGTGTCACGCGCCGTCTGCACGCGCTTCGTCGTCATCCTCGGTGGGCTCTAGCACGCGCCCCGGCAGCACCGCTACACTATCCTGTTGCACTTTCCTGGTTGCCCACAAGACACAATTGACGCTGTGGCAACCATGGCGTTCATTGACGCCATCTCCTCCGTTGAGGTGCAGGATGCGGTTCGCCTAGCACGCCCCAAGACTCTCCGAGCAGCACACACGGGCGCGCTGGAGATAGAAGCTGCTCGACAAGCATCACGATCTACGGTTCTGAGGCCTCCTACGCAGCCGCAAGCCCCGACAACAGCAACACATGCGCCTCCAGCCCCAGTTTGCTGGAACTGCCATCAGCAGGGCCACACGCGGGCACAATGTCCCACGTATCACCCCAGCAGCCGGAACCCAACAGCAACATCGCCGCGGATAATCACATCAACGCGTGTCCTGACAGCACCACTTACATCTATCTACCTTCAGGGCGTCGTCGACGGAGTTTCGGTACGCGCACTTGTTGATACCGGAGCTACAACCTCGGTAATTAGACCGGAAGTTTTGATGAAAGCGAATTGTGCTGTTCCACAAAGCTCTGCCAGCTATGCTCTGCAAACCGCAACGGGAGACATGGTAGCCGTACTAGGCTCCACAACTGTACACTTCACCGTGGGTAGCCTTCACGCTTCGCTGCCTGTTGTCGTTGCCGCTATCGAGGAGCAGTGCATCCTGGGCGTCGATTTCCTCAAAGCACTCAAGTGCGTGCTCGATTTCAACGCTGGATTGCTGCACCTCGGAACTGACTCGTTTCCCCTAGGCGCCGCCAAGGTGACGGTCCTCTACGACACTGGGCTGCCAATAAACGACACCCTCCCGTATATGTGTCCTCGCACATCCTCTATCAAGCTAGCTGCGCACGTATTACCATTATACGAAGGCGCGTCTGCTTGCCTCGATAAACTCGATGCTGAGAGGTTTTTCCAGCTGCTTGAAAATTTCACAAGCCTTTTCAGCACGGGAGACGCAGATATAGGGCTGACATCAGTGGCGACACACCGGATTGTGACAAGACAGGCCTCTCCCATTCGACAACCCCCTCGGCGCATTCCTCTCACACAGAGGTCTCACGTCGACGACTTGGTGAAGACAATGCTTCAACAGGGCGTGATTGAACCAGCATGTTCCCCCTGGTCATCACCAGTTACGCTAGTGACAAAGAAGGACGGTACAACTCGATTTTGCATAGACTATCGAAAACTCAACGACGTCACTAAGAAAGACTCTTTTCCACTTCCTCGGACTAATGACATCTTGGATGCCCTCGCTGGGTGCACATGGTTTTCGACACTAGACCTCAAAAGCGGATATTGGCAGGTCCCGGTGGAACCAGAAGACCGCGAGAAGACCGCCTTCACCACAGGTATCGGCTCGTATCAGTTCAGAGTAATGCCATTTGGACTCTGCAATGCTCCAGCTACATTTCAGAGGCTAATGGAATCTGTCTTGAACGAGCTCATAGGCACTATTTGCCTTGTATACCTTGACGACATCATCGTCTTCGGCAAGACAGTCACAGACCATCTGGCGAATCTAAACTTGGTTTTTTCACGCCTGCAAAATGCGAACCTGAAGCTCACACCGAAGAAATGTTCGCTGTTTACAAGACAAGTGGAATACCTCGGCCACATCATTTCGGTGGATGGCGTTTCCACAGACCCTCGGAAACTCTCTGCTCTCGTTGATTGGCCAACCCCGAGATCCACCACGGACGTGCAGAGCTTCATTGGACTAGCATCGTACTATCGAAGATTCGTCTCCGATTTCACTCACATCGCCAAGCCTTTGTATGCTCTGACTGAGAAAAAAGCGAAGTTCGTCTGGTCCTCGGAATGCCAGCGCGCGTTTGAGACGCTCAAAACAGCCCTCACGTCTCCGCCAACACTTGCGTATCCGAAGGAGACTGGACGCTTCATTCTTGACACCGACGCCAGCGCCTCGGCAATTGGCGCAGTTTTATCACAAGAGCAGGACGGACAAGAACGCGTCATTGCCTACTATAGCAAGGTCTTCACGAAGCCCGAACGCAATTATTGCACCACCCGACGGGAGTTGCTGGCCATCATCAAAGCCATCACCCATTTTCACCACTATCTACTGGGCCGGAAGTTTGTTATTCGAACCGACCACGCATCGCTGACATGGATGCTGAGCTTCAAGACACCTGATGGTCAGGTTGCCCGCTGGCTGGAACGCCTGCATGAATACGACTTCGACATACAACATCGTTCCGGCTCAAAGCACACCAATGCCGATGGTCTCTCTCGTAGGCCATGTAGTGAAAAGTGCAAGCAGTGCTTGAGCATTGAAAAGCGCAGCTTCGACACGCTTAACGCACTAACCAACCTACCCTGCGACTACGAAGCGTGGACGCCAGAAGAGCTCCGAAACGCTCAACTTGACGACCCGGACATCGGCCCATTAGTAAGATGGAAGAGACAGAATAACAGGCCCCCTCCTAAGGAAGTATCTCGGCTGTCTCCGGCCCTCAAGAGTTACTTGGCGCAATGGGACTCTTTGCTGCTGCGCGACGGTGTTCTTTACCGACGCTGGGAGTCCACTGCGGGCAATTCTGTTGTATGGCAACTGGTGCTGCCACGAAGACTCTGCTCTCAAGCGTTTCATCAGCTGCACACAAGCCCTGAAGGAGGACATTTCGGCGTGAACCGCACCCTGAAAAAGATTCGGCAGCGCTTCTACTGGGTGCAGTGCCATAATGACGTAAAGCAATGGTGCCGTCTATGTGACATGTGCGTCTCACGGAAAGGTCCTCACGTAAAACAGCGAGCACCGCTTCAAGAACATGTCACGGGAGCACCTTTTGAACGCGTCGGCATTGATGTGCTTGGACCGTTTCCTCGATCTAAGCTTGGAAACAGGTTCCTGCTGGTCATTGTTGACTATTTCACGAAGTGGCCGGAAGTCATTCCTATACCGAGCCAGATCGCCTCCGAGATCGCCGACGCTCTGGTCAGGAACTGGATTACACGGTATGGAGTTCCCCTGAGCATCCACTCGGACCAAGGCAGGAGCTTCGAATCTCGGGTGTTCCAAGAAGTCTGCGAATTGTTCAACATCAAAAAGACAAGAACGACGCCTCTCCACCCGCAGTCAAACGGTTTAGTCGAGAGGATGAATCGAACGATCCTACAACATCTGTCCATGTTCGTCAGTGATCAGCAAGATGACTGGGATAACATCGTGCCTTTGTTTTTGTATGCATATCGCACGTCTGCTCATGAGGTCACTGGCTATACGCCTGCCACAATGCTCTTCGGGCATGACCTGCGCATGCCCTGTGATTTAGCCCTTCCACGAGCATCAGAGCCGACCACAAACCCTGCGTCCTACGTCGGTGAACTGAGAGCAAACCTCGAGCGGGTGCACGCATTTGCTCGACAGCGTTTGGCGAGCGGCTTGGATCGCATGGAAGCCCGGTACGACGCGCATGTCACAACACGCCCGTTCTCTCCAGGGGAAAGAGTATGGCTTTACAACCCTATTCGCAAGAAAGGACTGTCTCCGAAACTGCAGCGTAACTGGCAAGGACCTTTCGTCGTCATCAAACGTCTCAGTGATGTGGTCTATCGCATACGTCGCAAGGATAGATCACGGGCCCTCGTGGTCCACCGCGACCGGCTGTGTTTGTATCAGGGACTTCTGTAGGACTTGCTCGGTCTTCAAAGGACGGGAGGGGGATAGTGTAGCGGAGACGCTGAGTGCGGGGTGAACAAAAAACATAAAAGAGAAGCAACCGGCACGCGACGAAGGGAACGCTCGTCGTGCTCGTGCGTGTGCGCGAGGCAGTTGGAAGCCAGCCACCGAAGATGTCGGACCTCTCTGTGCGGTGATTAAACCAGTTAAAAAGGAAAGCAGAAATTGTAACAATATCAATTGCAAATGCATGATTTTATCATCTTTACTAATAAAACACATTGAATGGACACATAATCGATTAAAAAAATGGTTTGTCTTGTCATTTTGACTGCATTTTTCGGGGTACTTTTGTCATCTGCTATGCAGTTCCTTGTTATTACCACGCCTGTTTCTGGTTCTGCAACTGCCGCCACCTGCTGAACGCACGCCAGTTTTGAGTCAAAAAGATTGTCTGCTAATGACGCCGGCTCTCAGCGCCGTATGCTTGTTCATTAACGGCAGCTGGCGTCCCGACCGCTTGCGCAGTCTTTTGTCTCCCCTGCCCAATGGAGCCCTAATGTTTGAAGACCGGTGGCTGCGCTGCATTTCCATAGGAGTCAAGCCTCTTTCATTTTTTTAACTCTTTCCTCAGGTAAGTTTGCTCTTTGCAAATTTCATAGAAAAAATGCACTACCTGTGGGCAACGCTGCAGAAAATCGTAGCGCAATAAATTAAAAAAGCAATTTTTGTGGTCGATTTATAGAGCCTGGCCGCTATTTGAGACACCCTGTAGAAGTTCCGGCAAGAAAGACGAGCCGACACAACTGCTGTTGTCATCGTGGCGTCTCAAACAGCGACTGCTGAAGCTTCCATAAAATGTAAAGACCTAAACCAAAACAAGCGTCTGCCATATCCACCTCCACTGCTGTGCTACCGCCAGTATGAAAGCAGGCAACGGTATCGACATCATCGGGCAGAAATCGAGGGACCACAAATGAGGAGATTGTAAACATGCCTAGCCAGGGACTCGTTCCAGGCTTCTGCCTGCTCCTTATCTGAGTCATGGTCCTAGCAACACAACTCTTAGCTAAAAAAAAAAAAGGAAGTCACATTATGATTTTTTACATTAAAGCAGCTCTACCTCTTCTTGCTAGATCACTCCAGCAAATTGCATAACACACAGGCTACCCTCACTAGCAAATACAAAAGCAGTGGACTGGTGACTTGCATCAGCATGGCACATACCTCGTTGCTTGAAGTGCTGGGCGCAGTACACAAACCCCTTGGGTCTGGGGAGGAGGTGATGCTTGAGCTTTGGGAGGTTCCGCTTGTTGGCAAATTCAAGGCTCAGCTTGTGCTTCTTCTCATTGAAGCGTGTTCCTTCAGAGAACAGAAGCAGCTGCAAGTGAAGGACATCCGAGTCACACCAGGAACTCCCCTCGAGGCAGTGTTCTTCAGAGCAAGCAAATCGGGCCTCTGAATCAAATGGTTCTAAAAATAAAGACTGTGTTCAATGTAAAATTCCAGTTCAATACCCACACTGGAGCGATGTATAACTATGGAAAAAATAAAATGTAGGGTGGACAATGTTTCAGTGTTTGAGCACCAAAATCAGTTTGGGCAAATATAAAAAATAACCAAATCCAAACATTGCCTAAAAATAAATGCATTAAGTATAAAAAAAATATCCAAGAAAAGGAGTACAGTCAAACCTTGTTGCCACATTTCCTGCGAAGCCAACAAACGTATGATCCAGGAAAACACAAAAAAACTGAGAACGCTTTTGGGGAGCACAGTGATGCGGTGGTCAGAGTAGTTTTGGAGCACCTCTTGGTGCAGCCGTAAGTCCACTTTGGAGCAGCAAAAAGAACCTCCGGAGCATAGCCAGACTTAATTTTCATTCCTACCTTTGGATATATTATATGTTAAGATTAACGTGCTGGCCTGTCAAACTCTTTGCCTTTTGACTTCTGTGCAACCTTTTATTAGCATCAATTGCACGGCAGGTTCGATTCTTTTAAATGCAGAACTATAGCTGTTTAGTTGCAAATAGAAACACTAGGCACAGCAACAAGATGCTTAATAATGAAGGACAGCATGAACTGCTGTGAAGGGCTGTTGTAGGTATGAAGTCAAAGGTAAACCAAATGATATACCTATTCCATGAAAATAATGTTAGAACAGAACATTAAGCATTAAATTGATGTCTCATTAAAGTTCTAGTGATTGTAATAAAACTGCAATTCTTAATATCAAAACAAAGCTTTTGTCATTCGATTATGGACATCAGTAACATTTCATTTGTAGAACTCTATAACCAAAATCGGCATCTGAACGATAAATATGCCTCTTTAAACCTTTGATGGTCGTTGCCGTACATGTGCGGCGGCGACTGCACGTTTGAAAATACCCACCTAAGCACAAGACTGCGTGCACCGCAGGAGGTATTGCAATTTGTTATGTCTTCGGCGAAATATAAAAGTTATATATGCATGGTGTTTCGATTGGCTAGGCAATTTATAGCTTTCAAATAAGACGTTTTGCGCAAGTGATGCTCACTACGCATACCGGCCGCTCTGGCGGTAGTGCCAATGGGAGTACTGGCTTTTTCGATTTAGTCCTCCAATGCTTTTCGGAATGAAATTCAGAGGATGAGAGCTCATTATCCGATGACAAAAGCGATCTGTAAAGTACCTCCCGTTGGAAATTTGAAACCATAGAAATGTCGCGGAATCGGATGCGCTAAAATAAAACCAAATGGAAGAAAGGAGATGGCTCTTTTGCTTTAAGTGTTTTCATTTGATGCTTCTAGACCTAAACAGCTTGCAAGCGCTGTACATACTCCCCCCAGGTAATTAAGGAAAAACCTGCACACTGACCCTTTCTTTATACTACTACTGTTTCCTTCGGAAACAAATCCCAACCACTGGGAAACAGTTTTTGGAAGAAAAAACTCGACCGTCAAAAGGATTAAAATTCAGCCGAACTCAATAAAGTTATTTTAAAGTTGTCACCCAGTGCCTCGGCTTATTTAGTTTTTTTTCTCGCTACCATCGCACAAATGAAACCTATACAAAGGTTATACCTAAACAAGAGAGTTGACATGAAAAATAAACCCAGAAAACAGATTATATAGATCTCACAATGCTTGAATATCCTTGTTAAATTCAAATTCAAAAAAACAAAATCGTCAGCAAAGACTTTTGCTGTCTATCCTATATACCAGCCACACTTTTATTCAGAAATTTTAGCTGAAAGGTACAACTACATCAGCAACCCTAGAGATACTTTTTAATTTTTAAAATTTCTGACGTCGTGTACGACATAAATGTACCACTCTGGAGAAGTGCTTTCTTCTTAGCACACAGGCGTGCAGCGGTGAAGAAAGATACAAAAAATTGTGATGGCTATTTGTTCCCGCTTCACTGCAGTGCACCAAAGCACAGTGAGAATTGCACTCAACAAAGCTAACTAACCTGCCAGAAAAGACCAAGTACAAGAGAAATATTGCTAACCTACAAGTATTGTCAGTGTTTAACACAGAGATCAAATTGACTTATACATTATTAATACTAATATTAAAAATACACGAGTACACTTAAGGCTGCTTACGTGCAGAAAGGCGAAAGCCAGTCAAGGACGACATCTAGGACAACACCTAGGACGATACATAGAGGACGACGTCAAGAACAACGTCTAGGACAACTTCCAGGAAGACAACTAGGACGCCTTCTAGGATGACCTCAAGGATGACATCAAGAACGACGCCTAGAAAACGACGTCTAGGAACTCACTTTGATTCCTCTTAATTCACTTTGTCATCCTTCTTAATTTCACTGCTTCTAATTCGCCTGAGTGGTCACGTAATTGTTTTGGTACCTTTCGTGCCGCCAACGTGTTTTCGCTCAAGGATTTTGAAGGCCGACTGAACGATGAGACATATATGGCTTTCGCCTTAATAAAAGGTCTTTAGACTTTTAGTCTTGGCTAATGGAGCAAAAGGGACAAATGCCACCCGGCGAGGCTCCTACAGCCATACACAGCAATAAGGCTGTAACACACCTTGCATTAAATTCGGAAATGAGCTCAGTCACGAGGTGCACGAGTAGGAAGAAAGCCATCCAATACGACTGAATGCAGGAGATTGGGTGTGAAAAGGAACGGGGCTGTGGGGAGCAAAGTTATAAGTAGGGTTCCGCATTTTCGGCTTTTATTTTTTCAAAATTCGGCATACTTTTTTCGGTGTTTCTTCTAAAAATCAATTTTCATTTTTTTTTTTTTTTTGGGGTGTATTATTATGCCCACAAAAGTTGACCTTTTTTTTTTTCGGGGAATATGAAGGAAACACCATCCGACACCGGATCAGATGATCCTTCTAGCTCTGATATTTGATCACTCAAAGAATAACGGCACAGATACATTGATAAAAAAACATGAACACTTTAATTAACAAATGTGTGCAACCATTTAAAAAAAAAAGAAAAAAGGTCAGTGCTCAAAAAACATGGAATTTCACCTTCTGTACATTAGGATTACGTGATCTTATTATAGTAAACACACATGTACTTTCCCAGGTTCTCCTCGTTGATCCACAATCATTCTTTCCTGTTAATGACCCCGGGCTTCAAGAATGCCCTCTCAATGTTAAGACTGGACACTGGCAGGCTGAGGAGATGAAGCACTGCCTGATCCAAAATCGTCCAATCAACCAAATGTGGCTACCAAAAGAGGCACGGTGCGACGTTTTGAAGCACGACAATTTCGTGTTCTCACTAAACTCTGGCTGCAGATCTTGCATGAAGCGAAAAACTTTATACCAGCCGACACCCAAACTTTTTTTTAAGACCAGGAACTTGACACACTAAGCCCGATCACAGAAGGGTCACAGATGCTCCGCGAAGGACAACCCAAGACCTCTTTTTGGATGTTGAACCTTCGTAGAGGGCAGTCATGAAGAGGTCACACATTGCCAAACCTAACAACGCCCTCTACCCTCCCCCCCTTCACCACCCTCTTCCCGCCCATCTCCGACGCGGCCCTAAAAAACTTACTATTTGCGGTTAAAACAGAATTTTAGAAAATGGATTCGGGGTATTTTATCCGTTAATCTCGATTTAAACCGAAAACGCCGAACCTAAAAACTGACCTTTATCGATTTAAACAGAATTTCCGAAAATGAATTCAGCGTACTTGATCGGTTTTTATTGATTTAAACCGAAAACTCCGAACCCTAGTTATAAGTTATCTATAATGCCGCGTGAAGGGGGGAATAGAGAACGCAGAAAGCATACTTTGTCACTTTTGTGTTTTTACAAAGCACCCCCAAAAACACAATAAGCCACGCGGAACTGCCACGCAGAACTGCGGGGCATTCGCCAATTCAAGCCAAGCTAGCTGAAGTCAAGACACACATCAAGCCAAGACCAGACCGGCTCTGTTTATGCAACCATGCAACAAGAGGTGTTTCCTTATGCAGAGGGAACAGAAAAAGGGCAAGAACCATCATGCATCCAGTCCAGCAGTCTTTGTTCAGCCTGTTCATATTTTAGTTCATGCTCGAGTGTGTTCTGGTGTTTGTGCATTGATGTTTCTGCTTTGCCCGTTTTTTATGCCAACCGATTTGACACAGTTTGCCGAGGTTCAAGAGGAATTGCTTGCACACAAGGAACTGACCCCGAAGAAAAATACAAGACAGACAAGTGCATATCTCTGAAGTCGCCAAGCAGATTGAGGATGCAACAGTGAAAAGGAGCTGAGCAGTGATGATAATTACAGTCAAAACGTACACCAACTTTTTTTTTTTTTTTTTCAGATTTTTATTTTTATTTTGTGCTCAAGTGCGGTAACTTTACACTGTTTCGGCTTGTGTTATGATAGTAACTATCTTCTTTTCTTCTTTTTAAGGGCATCGAACCTGCCCTTGCATTATATTTGTCGTCACATTACATTCATTCAAATATGGTTATTGGTCTATGTTTCTTGTTTCCCAAAACCGTTATTGAAATTAGGACTCAACCAAAAATGTCAAGCCAGAACAGTGAGCAGACATTGAGTGCCCATCCAGTACGATGATTCAAAACAAAAAAAGCTTGATATACATGTGCTGCCAATTACAAAATTTGAGCTCTGTGCAAAGTGAAACTAGTAAAACTAAGGGAACCAAGCGCAAGACAGATGTGTGCCAGAGAAAGATGAACGAGCCATTGCGGAAGCTTGAATCCCTTTCAAGCCTAGTTCAAGGTAATGTCTGCTTAGGCAAGAAGCATAGCACAAAGGAACAAAAAGTTGAAAAGGAGGGGCGGCAAAGCAAAAGGAGAAAGTTGGCAACGGTCGAATAGCAGCTTTTGAACATATTGATCCGAAAGGCACACTTAAAAAAAAAAGAATGGGAATGTAACA